GCAAATGCGAAGCCTGATCTCGCAATTGCGAGATCAGAGGCCTGGGTAAAAATATCAGATACTAGCAATTTTTTCTAAGTCCAATTTCACTTCGTGGCCTATCTAAAACTCACCCGAGCCCTCGGGGCTCCAAACCAATCATGCACGCAAGTCTGGAAACATCATACGGACTTGCTCGTGCGAACAAATCATCAAAATAACATCAACAACTATGAATTAAACCTCAAATTCATGAAGTCACTCAAGAACATTGAAATTTCTATTTTCTCAACTATAGGTCCGTTTTATAGCAAACGAACTCCGATTCTTACCAAATTCCACAGATTCAACCATATTATTATTTTAAACTTGTATCAGGCTGCGGAACCAAGATACGAGCCCGATACCATCAAGAAATTACATCAATTCACTTCTAAAAGCCTTTATATTTTCCTGCAAATAATTTTCTTTAAAAATTCTTTTCTCGGGCTTGGGACCTCGGAATTCGATTCCGGGCATACGCCCAAGTCCCATATTTTACTACGGACCCTACGGGACCGTCGAATCACGGGTCCGGGTCCGTTTACCAAGAATGTTGACCAAAGTCAACTTTAATCGATTTTAAAGGCCAATTTTATTATTTTTCTAAAAATTCACATAAAGGCTTTCCGAAAACGCGCCCGGACTGCGCACTCAAATCGAGGTGAGGCAAAAGGAGGTTTTCAAGGCCTTGGAACACAGTTTTGACTTCTAAAACAAGAGATGACCTTTAGGGTCATCACATCATTTTATTTTGGAAAATAACTCATGTTGTTACGACTTACTACCACAACAAGAACACTATTCATAACAGTATTTATATATGTAATTTCGTAAAAATATGCAAGTTTACATATTCAAAAGATTTTGATTATAACTCAAATGACAATTAATGTCGGTTGCAATGTGATGATTTGAAGTTAGATTTTCAATTGATTCTTTTTCTTTTCTTAGAGAAATTAGATGAGGAAAGGCCCGTATACAGGCCAACATTGTAATTTTAAAATTATTGTTTGTTAGTGTTTAGTTAATTTTTTGATAAATAAATGATCATTATTATATTCATTTAGACATGGATAGAAAATGATATGGAGACAGTTTACAATTAATTTATTTTAATAATTTATATAAAGTTAAACTACAAATTATAACTTGTTTAAGTTGCTCCAATTAACATAAAAAATATTACGTGCTATAATACTCATTTTAGCCTCTAGTCAATATTCAAACACAAATATCAAATTGAAAATTTGATATTGATGGTATTATTTTCCCACTGTATTTGGATATTTTATAAAAGAATACATTAGAAAGCTACAAGTATCATCTATATTAATAATTTTCTATAATAAAAAGCATACCAATCTATCTGTAAACTAATCTGTAATACATCCAAAATGGTCTTGCAAGTGTTTCAACGGTGGGAACAATCAGCTACTTGATGAAAGTTTAAACGAACAACATCATTATTTACAATACGATAAAAGATGAAAAAAACTATGATTTTACTCATATCTTGTATACATCAAAATTAAGAGAAAATCTTAGTACAATAAGCAAAGAGAACTTCCAAAGGGATTTGCATTCCTAATGAGGCAATTTACTACTTCAAACAAAGAGAATAATGGGCATTAAAACAAACATGACACATGATATAAATTGTAGTAATTCAGTATAGTAGTTCAAATTATATTTTATTTTAACTCGTCTAAATTGGTGTTAACTGGTAATAAAATAATAAACATTTGATAGAAGTCTATATAAAATATATAGATTTTTATTTTTTCCTCAATTTAAGGAGATGAGAGAAATATTTTATTTTTTATGGAATTATAAACAATATAAATATTATAACAAATAATGTTTAAGACATTTATTGATAATTGAAAACTTATCATGGAATAATGGAGTTCAAATCATATAGATTAAATTATCACATCAACTAAGTATATAAGATATAGCCTCCTAGTACAGTAGGAACAAATCTCATTACTTAAATTAACTCTTGAGGTTTAATAAGCTATACTTTTAAAATTACTTTTGAATATGAAAATATTTAGTTTGAAATCGCCTTCAAATAGTGTGGATAGATGAAAACCATTTAATTTTCATTTTCAAATTGCTTTAAGATATGATGGGTAAATATGAAAATCTTGTAAATATTGATACTTCTTTTTGTTGTTCTATGATTTAAAAATTAATTTTACTTTCTCTATAAAAACTTCTGTTTGACTAAAACAAAATTAATAATTTTCCAAAATGAAAAAAAAGATTGGAAATGAGCATTTGCACTGCAAAATCAGTCTAATCAACACATGCACAATGCATTTAAAGGAGAGTTGTGGCTAGGGAAATATGGGGTTCACGTGTATCAATGATGACATAGTTTTGCATTTAAAAAATGCAAATAAGGAGTTTTATAAAATAACATATATGCCCTTGGTCGACCATCTTTCCTTTTCTATATAATAGAAAAATGTTGATGGAGAATTGCTCCTTCGTACTTCAAATCAAATGAGCTGGTTTTGACAGGTTGCTTAAGCACAAGTGATTTCTTATTTTTTTTATTTCCTCTTCGGTATCTGCTATTTGTATCGGGGTTGGATTAAATTTTGATATGCGCCGGAAAGTCCCACATTGGAGATTGAGTGCTATCTAACAAAGACAACTCCATACCCATGGAATGAAGGAGTAATTACCACACCACTACAATCTTTGTTCATACAGGAGATTTCTTATATTATAAGGTAGGGGCGTACATACCAAACCGGAAAACCGCACCTACTCGAAAAGTCAAACCAAACCGATTAAAAAATCCGATTAGGTTTGGTTTGATATGATTTGGTATTGAGTAAAAAAAACCCGAACCAAACCAACATATAAATTTATAATTTTTATATATACTTTTAAGATTTTATTTAGAATTTTCTTTAAAAAAATATCTAGAAATATTTGAGATTCTCTTGTGGGACATAATATTTAATAGAATATGAAGTGCTCCATATTTATTAACCTTAAATAATGGGTTGTATGATCACTTTCTTATCAAGTGTTACTGAAATGCGTCAATTTCTTTGTTTTTCCATATTCATATCATATGCTAAGATCTATTAAATTCTTAGTATATCTTTTTCGAATGTGAAGTGATTATTTTTATTTAGGTATCATATTGATTTTTATGTTTAATTACTACATTCGGTTAACTTTGAAAGTGCACATCAAAAAAAAAATTATTGTCACACGACTAAAAAATAACTGTTAGTATATGTTACTAAGAAAATTCTCACATAAGAATATAGCAATAGATAAGATGTTTGTCAATTTTTTATATTTTTATTAAAAATCTAGTTACTTATCAAAAATTTAATAAAGTAAGATTGAAATAATATTTAAGCAACAAAAAATCCGAAAACCCCGACAAAACCGAACCAATTCAAACTGATATAGTTGGTTTGGTTTGGTTTTGATAAAAACCGAACCAACCCGGTCCATGTACACCCCTATTATAAGGTATATGTAAGATAAGATAAAAAAGAAGTTTTATATTATGCAAGATTGTTTAGATTTTCTTTTCAATATTTTTTTTACCCTAAGCATGTGGATGGAAACATAATGATCACGTCCACATCCATCATCATTTATTCATTGATATTTTCTAACACTAATAATAGTAAACAGTACAACAATAACAACAAATATATTTAAATCCTAAGCTAATTGACTAGTAGCAGTGGTATAGAAATTAATTTCTCCCATTTACATTGCTTCTTAATCTGATTCTTTTTTTATTTATTTAAAAAAAGACAATTTTCCGTTAGTGGAAATGGAAAAAAGAAATTATTGAACCTAAACCAAATAAAAATAGTAACGAAGACATAATTTTCTGGTAAATTTGGATAATGCGTAACTAAAAGCAGATAAAAGTCAAAGCAAGTCTAATCAGAATCCAACTGTATTTTCACTTACAACAAAAGTCAAAAATACCCCTACATCTAACTTCCTAGATCAATTAACTAATTAACAAATTTTATTTAAAAATTAAAGAATATCCTATCATAGATTTTACTCGAAAATGTAAGAAGATACCCCTGCATCTACCCTCCTAGATCAATTGTTGATTTTGGTTGAAAAGTCAAAGTTACCCCTATATCTATCCCTTCTAGATCAATTCTAGATTTCATTAAAAAAGTCAAAAATATCTTAATATCTACCAAATCTGAAACAGTAATAATTATATAATTTTCTGGTAAATTTGGATAATGCATAATTAAAGCAAGTGTAATAAGATTATAGCTCCATTCCAATTACTCAAAAAGTCAAAAATACCCCTACTTCGACCTTCTAGATCATCAATTGTTGATTTTCATTAAAAAAATAATTAAAAATTATGTTTTATGCCTTAACATTTATAAATTATTTACACAAACAAGTTACTTATGAGTAATTTTGGAAAATCTTATATAATAAATATTAATTATTAATATCACAAATAATGCTATAGTGTAAAGAATATTAAGTGGGCGTTTGGACATAAGAATTGTAAAATTCCAACAAAAAAATATTTTTTTTAAAATGAAAATGATATTTGAAAATTAGAGTTGTGTTTGGACATGAATATAATTTTGGGTTGTTTTTGAAGTTTTGTGAGTGATCTGAGTGAAAATTATGAAAAACAGTTTTTTTGAGTTTTTTAATTTTTTGAAAAATTTCAAAATTTATCTTTAAGTGAAAATAAAATTTTTATGACAGTAATTTCGAAAAAAAGTAAAAAAAAAATTTATGTCCAAACGGCTCTAAATCTATTGTAGATCAATTGTAGATTTCCTAGATCAATTTGTACTAGATTTTACTATAAAAGGTCGAAAATACCCCCACATCTACCCGCGTAGATCAATAATCAATTGTATATGTTCCGTTAAAAGTCAAAAATACCCTTACAGCTACGCTCCTACTAGATCCAGATGTAGTATTTCTTTTCTAACTTGGACTCATTTTTACGGTTAAACCCCAACGGAACTGTAACACAATTCATTCCCAATTCGCTCTCTTTCTTCAAATTCATGCATCGAAACATCAACAAAGCATCGTGAAAACACAGATCGGATCACGCGCTTACGGCGGAACACGGCGGAGCAGAGTCTCTTCCGTACAACATTGCCGCTTGTTTGACACTTTCAGTTTCTCTCAAGGTATTATAAGAAAGATAAAAAATACTGTTTTTATTGAGGTTTTTGATTCGTTACATCGATCTAAGGTTAATTCAGTGTAATTAAATGTGAATGTATTAGGAACCGCTATTTGTTATGTTGAATTTTGTACATGCATTGTTTTTAACTTGATTTTGTAATTAGCGGTTTTAGTTTTATAGTTTTGCACTGTTTGTCGGTAAAAAAAGTAAAATTTACTGTTTTGATTCGAGGTTTTGATCTGTTTACATCGATCTAAGTTTAATTCAGTTTAATTAAATGTGTATGTATTAGAATTCGTTATTTTTTCTATTGAATTTTGTACATGCATCGTTTCAACATGTTTTTGTAATTACCGGTTTTAGTTTTGCGCTGCTGTCGGTATAAATTTTTGTGTTTGAATTGGTGGCGAATCGCGATGATGATCTGTGTGAGTACATGTGATCTGTGATTTTTGAAGTTGACATGAAAGGTTAATTGGATTTAATTTTAGTATTTATTTTAATTTTACGCTTGAAAAAGAATAGCTTTTTGGTAATCATGTGTTGTTGGCGCCATGGAAATGCCTAATTAGTTTTGAATTCAATCATGAGTTTGAATGAGGTTGTGAGATATGATTTTAAGTTAATAGAGTAGGTTCGACTCATAAGAATTGTAATTTACTTGTCAATTTAGCAGCAAAAGAAAGCTCTTGGGGATGATCTGAGTAAAATGTTTTGTAAATGTGTGTTTTGCTCTTCTTTTACCTTTTTTTTTTGGGTATGTGATCTCGGATCTGTTTTTCAGTAACTCCTCTAAAAGTCAATATTAGTAGCTGTTGGCACCACAGAAACGCTTCATTGTGAATTCAATCATGAGTTTGAATGAAATTGAAAGATAGAATTTTAAGTTAATAGGCATTGTTTCGACTCGAAAGAAGTTTGTGTTATTTACTTGTCAATTTAGCAGAAAAGGAAAGCTCAAGGGGATGGTCTGAGATTAATGTTTAGTAAATGTGCTTTTCTGCTCTGTGATATCAGATCTGTTTTTCAGTAAATCCATTGAAGTCAATGTTAGTACTCCCTCTGTCCAATTTTATGTGATGTTTTGACTGGGAACGTAACAAGGGAGAGAGCTGAATTTGAGAGAGAAAAGGGACGCCCTCGCTGCAATTGAGAAACAACGCTAACTGGGAAAGGCACTCTTGAAGAAGGGCCTGCCATACGTTGGGGTGAAGAAAGCTTCTCCTCTTATAGAAGAGGCGCTGAAAAAGACAGTCTTCAAGAAGTGAGAGAAGGAATCATAAAAGAAATAGCTTTTGTCTATTTATTCATATTTGGTTGGATTCCTCGATTCATATTATATCTTAAATGGAATAACATCTTTTTCTAGCTATTGCTTAAAAGAGAGAAACACTTTTGAGACTTGTGGTCTAAAATAAGCCATAGATATCACTGATAAGAAAAAACAGGCCACAGATATTAGTGTGGCTATAGATCATCTCATTAAGGGTAAAATGGAAAGTTTAAATTAAATTGTTTCTAAATATAGAAAGGTATTATTCTTTTTGAGACAAATTCAAAAGGAAAGTGCATCACATAAATTGTCAGAGAGAGGGAGTAGTCATCTTGAAGTAAAACTTTAGTCTGATGTGGTTTTTCTTGCTTTCTTTTTAATTCTGTCTGGAATGTATTTTTTTTGGGGGGGGGGGGGGGATTTTCTGAGAATGTGCTAGATTTAATGCCTTGTTTTTTACCTTAAAATATTTGAGTAAAATTTTTGCATATCAATATTTTCATCTGGTTCAAAAAAAGAGGTTGACAAATATTAGATAAACCTGTTTATAACATCTCCTTGTTTGTTTCAATTATGCATGATGGAACAATGTATTTCTTGACTATCTGTAAAGTGAGCCTTAATTATACTATACTTCTTAAGTCTCCAACATCCCAATCTCTCTTTTCGGGTTTGCAAACAGAACCTCTAGGTCAAGGACGAAATCCTCAAACCAATAGAAACATGATTTCTACTTCACAATTCTTATGTTAAGAAGTTATGTCTTATTCATGTGATGAAAAAGACAAGACCTGAAGGTTATCAAAAGAAAGATGAGACTTAAAGAGAAGCAAGTATCACATTCACAACCGATTCTGTGCCGCAAATCATATGGACTTGTGAAATTGGTAGGGATGGAGCTTTGGGGAACGAATCTATTGAGACATCCAAATAATTGTCAATGAATTTGGGCATTTCTAGCGTCCAGGAGTGCACTGGTTATTTAGCTCATTCAGTCTATTTCACTTATTCTTATTTTTGAGTTTTGACCATTCAATTTCTCTTATGCATTTTAAACTGTTTTGATGGTTTACATCTGGGATAGTTTATTCCGGGGAATAAAGAATTTAAGCCTAACATCATTGCTGTGGTTGTAGGATGTCTGTTGATGCTGAGTTTCCCTATGGTCCATCCATCTTAACTGACGAGAAAATGCCAGAAGTGGGGAATCCAGCTGTTCCATGCCAAACTTCATCTAGCAATGATGCTGTTGTGTTTACAAAAGAAACTTCGAACTGCCCTGCTGATAATGGTCAAATGAAACGTAATACAGCGTCAGAGATAACAGGCATTGAAGAAATGAGTGGTGAATCTGGTGGTTCAGACAAAAGTAATGATGATGAAAAATTAAGTAAAGGAAGTGCAGAAGCTGCAAAAGCAGATGGCAACAATGAAGACAAGTTACAAAGTGACCAAAGTGAGAACGCTGAAAATGCAGACAGTGATGGTCAAGGGGCACCGAGCATGGTCACAGAAATTAAAGGTGTCAATGAAATAGGAGGTGATTTTAAAGGAGATGTCCAATTAGTATGTGAAGAAAGTGCAGATACTGAAAAGGTAGAGAGCAGTGGCCAAACTGCAGCTAGCACTGTTATAGAGATAAAAGCTGTTGAAGAAATTAAGGGTGAATCTACTGGTTCAAGGAAAAATGATAAGAGTGTGGATGCTGAAGAGGCGAATATCAACAGTTCAATGGCTGTCAACCCTGTTATTGAGACAGTAGGCATGGAAGAAATGAGAGGCGAATCTAGTGACCCTCGCAGAAGTAATGATGGCAGCAGTGAAGAAAGTGGGGAAGCTGAAAAAGCAGACAGCAGCTGCCAAAGGGCACCTCACTCAGCCATGGAGATGACGACATTGGAGAAAATGGGATGTCTATCTAGTTTTGTAGAGAACAGCAGCGGATACATTAATGGTCAAGAGCCACCCAACACAGTCACCAAAATCAAAGGAATTAATGAAATAGGAAGTGATTTTAATGGTGATGTCAAATTAGTATGTGAAGAAAGTGCAGATACTGAGAAGGTAGAGAGCAATGGCCAAGCGTCACATAGCACTGTTACAGAGATTACAGCCATTGAAGAAATTAGGCCTGAATCTAATGGTTTAAGCAAAATTGATGATAGTGTGGATGCTGAAAAGGCTGGTAGCAACAACTCACTGGCTACCGACATTGTTACTGAGATCAGTGAATTAGAAGACGAATCTAATGGTGCAGAGAAAATTAACAATGTGTCTGAGATCACTGGAATACAAGTTGAGTCTAATGGTGCAGAGGAAATAAGTGATGATAAACTAGCATGCCAAGAGAGCACAAACACAGAAAAAGGAGGTGATTCTAATGGTGATGTCAAATTAGTATGTGAAGAAAGTTTGGATACTGAGAAGGTAGAGAGCAATAGCCAAGCGGCACCTAGCACTGTTACAGAGACTACAGCCATTGAAGAAATTAGGCCTGAATCTAATGGTTTAAGCAAAATCGATGAGAGTGTGGATGCTGAAAAGGCTGGTAGCAACAATTCACTTGCTACCGACATTGTTACTGAGATCAATGGATTAGAAGATGAGTCTAATGGTGCCGAGAAAATTAACAACGTTTCTGAGATAACTGGAATACAAGTAGAGTCTAATGGTGCGGAGGAAATAAGTGATGATGAACTAGCATGCCAAGAGAGCACAAACAGTGAAAAAGGAGGTGATTCTGATGGTGATGTCAAATTAGTATGTGAAGAAAGTTCAGATACTGAGAAGGTAGAGAGCAATGGCCAAGCGGCACCTAGCACTGTTACAGAGATTACAGCCATTGAAGAAACTAGGCCTGAATCTAATGGTTTAAGCAAAATCGATGAGAGTGTGGATGCTGAAAAGGCTGGTAGCAACAGTTCACTGGCTACCGACATTGTTACTGAGATCAATGGATTAGAAGATGAGTCTAATGGTGCAGAGAAAATTAACAATGTTTCTGAGATCATTGGAATACAAGTTGAGTCTAATGGTGCAGAGGAAATAAATGATGATAAACTAGCATGCCAAGAGAGCACAAACACTGAAAATGCAGACAGCCAAATTCAGAGTGTATCCAACGTGGTCAGTGAAATCAAAGGAACTGAAGATATCGAAGGTGAATCTGATGTCGCATACAAAAGGACTGATGGAAACTCAACCTGTGGAGAAAGGAAGGATGCTGAAGCAATGAATAGTGGAAGTCCAGTTCATACAGGGTGCGTTCCTAACCATTTAAATGTTTTTCGCCTTTATCTTTCATTTGGCATGATTTAGTAAAAGCAGTCTCCAGACCTGCCTGCCCCCCCCCNCCCCCCCCCCCCGGCCTGCCTCACAAAAAAGACTCAATTTAGTTGATTAGTACTGTTGTGAGCAGATTTAGATGAGCGGGAAATTATCCGTTCTTTTGCTGCTAAAGTGAGATCTGTGGTCAATTAAGATGAATATGATCAAGTCAATATCTTTAATTTTTTACTCTACCATTTTTTTAGCAGATATGATATTTATATTCAGGTTGCAGTGAAGTTTATGTTGCAGCCTGTAACGGATGTCCTTATATTTGATATTTTGAGAATTCAGATACACTCTCTTATCTTTGAAGAACAAAAGATTTGTCTGATTCATTTCTGATCTTTTGATGAGAGGTTTCGTAGTCTGCGGACAGATATTTACGGTTCTATCCTCAATCGCCTTTTCTATTAAGAGACATGAATGCAGGGAGGAGGCTGGGGATGTGACTTTCCTATTTATGTTTCTTCCTTCACTGTCATGCTCTATTGGATGTATGCGACTTATATCCACATTGCATTTGGTGGAAGCTTTGTTTTCAGTATAAGAATGCATACACTAGGCTTGGTACCATTTGCATGATAGATTTGATGTTTGTTTAGTAGCTTGATATTCGGAGTGCTGTGATATTTTATCTTTTTTCAAATTGAGCTAGGATTTTAAACTGATCAACCAACTTGAAGGGCTTTACATTAATTCTCTGACCGCTAAGTGATTCTATTTACTAGAAAACATAGTGATGCTGAATTTTCCCACATTTCATCTTTTTAGCTGACATAAATTTGCAGCATTGATGCTGTCACATCTGGAAAGGAGAGCACGAATAACCCGGTTAATGATGTTCAAAATGTGCACAACACTGTCTTCGAGACTATATGCAATGAAGAAATTGGAAGTGCCTCTAATGGTGACAAAGATATAGATGACAAAGTGATGCGCCAAAGAGATGAGGAGTCTAAAAGATTGCAGAGTGATGGTCTAGCTAGTGAAGGGTGAGTTCCTAATTTCTGAAGCCCCAGTCTCCCCTTGTTAAAGACGAGACACTTAATCTGAAAATATCTCAACTGGATTTTGGATGGAAGGAAATTAATTCCCTTTGGCTGCCCTTTGTTTCTAATAAGAGGTTTCTGATTAAGTGCATGCCATCTCTGTTTGTCATTAGACGTAAACATTGAAATTCAAGTTAACTTAAAGTGAAACCCATACTGATATCAATAGATATAGCTCTTTCTCGTTAGCCGTAAATGAGAAAGCAAATTATTTTTAAAATGATTATTTGAATTGGTGCTCTTCCCCGAAAACAGAATCTTTTATTTTCCTGCTGAAGCAAAGTTTGTTTAGATTTTGAGTGTGATATGCACGGCTTAGCAGTCAATGAAGCTAGAATGGATCATGGGAGACCAATGTTCATACCCGGAGGAGGCAAACACCGTTAGCAAAAAAAAGAGATTGGATGTGATACATTATCATCTAGGTTCTTATACATCGCTGGTTATAATTCGTATTACCAAACAACATTTTATTTACCAGTATGTGAATCCATATGGGAAGTTGCTGGTTAAATTTGGTTTCCTTAGTTAAATGGTTATGAAGTCCGGAATATGTTGTCTCGCTTCTTTACTATCTAGTGATCATATATACTTCACTTAATTGGTAGATTCATTCTGGATAGCTATGTGAAGATCCTTCCATGTGTACTATGACTGTAGGATGTCCAGTGATGCTGAATTTTCACGTGGCCTGTGTATTTTAGCTGATGCAAGACTGTCTGAAGTAGAGAATTCTTTTACTTCGATCAGCAGAGACATGTCTAGCAATGATGCAATTGCGTGGGGAAATGAAACTTGTGATAGCTGTATTTCTCATGGTCAAAGTCCAGTGGACATGGTTCAAGAGACCAATGGTAAAGAAGTAGAACATGAATCTAATGGTGTGGACAGAAGTGGGGATGATAAACTGATGTGCGAAGAAATTGAGGATGGCAAAAGATTCAACTGCAGTAGTCTAGCTGCTGAAGGGTGAGTACATGGGTTACAAAGATAGAAATTTTTCTTACTTCAATTGTACTTGGTGGTTGAGGATAAAAACTCGCCAAGTAAAGACACATATTTATAAAATAAATGTTTCTGGGTTGATGGTGACCTTAAGTATACAAGTCAGTAGGTTATATTTCCCCTTTTGCTACCCGGAACAGTCTATCCGATGCAAATAGAGAAGTAGTATTAAGTAATGAACGTATCTTCTTTTGTATCTGTTGTTCATCTGTATTCATGCGACTTAAAGTCTTTAATGCACGTACAAATATGGTATGTATATGTGATTGATATGCAAATTAGTAATTAGGTTCAGAATTGTGAATTAGTATATTCAGTAATGGCATTTAAACTTCTACTTAGACATGAATGAAGTGGGAAAAGGCAAGTAAATATAATGACGACCCAAAACCGAAAGAGAAAGGAACAATTCTTCTTGTCTCGTTTGGGGGGGGGGGGGGGGGTTATGAGTGTGATGGTTTCTTAGGGAGGGGGACGAGCACAGTCCGGGTTGAGTACGCGTGTGTGTATGTGTGTATGTGTAGATAGGTAAACGGGATAAGGGCATATACTACCACATTGTCAAACCATAATAGCTCGAGGCCATACTCTCCTCCGTGATGAATAATTCACATAGACTATAGTCCAAGGCTCTAGGTAATTAATATCCACTATTCTAGTCGAGCAAGAAAAGAAACTAAATCTTGGGTTGCAATCCAATCTCTCAATTCTCGACTTATACCAGGTGTAATTAGCAGATAAATGTATTAAGTTATAGTTAATGCTCTTGGAAGAAGAATACTTTTCTTGCTTGTTTAAAAACGGTCTTCATTTTCTAATAGTTTGTTTAGAGTTGAATAAACTCAGTGTTTGACTATTTGCTCTTGTTATGTAGGATGTCTTGTAATACTGAGTTTTCCCAAGGCCTATCTACTTTCGCTGATTCAAACTTTTCTGAGGTGGGTAATTATTGTGCTTCAAGTACTAAAGACATGTCTAGCAACGATGCTTTTGGGGTCAAAAATGAAGCTTTGTATAGCTGTGCTGATGATTCTCGACTGGGACCTAACTTGGTCAAAGAGGGTAGTGGAGTTGAAAATTTGGAAGGTGTATCGAATGGTGTGGACAACAGTATTAACAACGGAATACTTTACGAGAACTGCGGGGATACTGAAAAATCGCACATTGGTTCAGATAATGTGGGGTACGTTTCGAACTATCTGAACATATTCCGTTTACGCAATTAATGACAGAATCTATGCAGATAGAAGAGGCTATCCTAGTGTAATCTGTACTTTTTTGGGTAATTTTATTATTCCCCTTTTTGCTGTCTTATTTGTTCCTTTGTTCTGAATAAGAAAGTTTCAGAGATAGTGGATTGTCTGTTTTTCTTGTGTGCTATTTATCCGAACTTTTATTAACCCCAATCTCTCTGGATAGCTAAGTTGGTCTCTTGGTCGCTCTTGAATATTTAAACTCACAATTGCTCTCAAGTTCCACTTTTAATTCATAGGACTAAATTGGTCTTTCTACCACACATCACTTTCCAACTCTCAATAAGCTACTGAACATCGAGAATACTTTTGGCATTGGGATAGCTTTTCCGTCCATTTCCTTTAGATAAACAAGGGGATTCTATCATAAGTTGTTCCCTCCAAGAAAAAAATTGCAGCAGCAATTAATCCGTGAGTGATTATTTGTAGAAGGCCTCCATTAAGTCCCTTATCAATTATAGTACTACTTCCTACAATTATGAAACCCATATGAAGAACTCCTATGTCAGTTTTTTTCCTTAATGAAGTTTTAAAGATATTGTTTTTTTTTGAAATTATTTAGCAATTTATATTTAATAAAATAAAACTATTTTTTTAGACATATACACTCGCATCGAGTGTCCCTATATTAGTTTGAATATTAATGAGGTTGCATGATGTTTACATTAGCTGGAATCCTCATGATTTAGATAATAAACCTTTGTTTTCTAGTTATTCAAGCCAAGTATCATTCATCCGTTATTTCATGAATGCTCCTGTTGAAAGAAGAAATTTATTTATTTATTGCCTATGCTATTTTATTCTTTTTTATTTAAAAAATACAATTATGGGCGGTTACATTGGCAATTACGGTTGGTATTTTGCATGGAGAATCACCTTTACTCTCTTCAATATGGGAACCCACATTGATCACTGGTATGATATTGGTTGTCTCAAGGAAGTCCTTTTATTCATCGGCTTATAAGGGCTACCTACTTACCTTTTACAGTCCTGTGAATTTGTTTGTGCTTATATTGTTCATTTTTTCTACCGATAAAAAAGTTGGCAAATATGCACAGCATACCAAATGTTTCTTTTGGAGAACTCAATATGCTTTTATTGCTATACAAGCCTTTTTCAGCCTACCTATTTCTTAGTGCAAGCATATGTAGTTTAATAAATAGGTACTGTCCGTGTTGATGGTCCCACAATCTTGCGTTTTTATATTAAACCAAGGAATTAGTGTTTCAATTTGAGGGGATTTGCTTCCATAATCATTTATCATTTTCACCAGAAGTTTGTTCTTGTCTTTATAATTAGGTCCCTATATAGGGGAATTTTCTTTAGTTTTATGTTCTTGTAGTATCCTAATTTCTTCTTGTGATTTGGTGGTTGATGCTAATGGGTTGTTGAATTTGTCATGTCCAGGCATGCAATGCTTTATTTAGTTTACCATGTCATCTTGTTATTTTTGCTTGTCTTTTTGTCATTTATGGTATGTTGTCCGTTGCTGTATATTTAATGGAGACAACTAACTAAGCTGCTTATTGCTCTTGTCTTATAGGGTGCATGGTGATGCTGAAGTTCCCATTGACCAGTCTGTTTTAGCTGATGTAAAATTGTGTGAAGTTGGGAACTCTTCTGCTTCAAGTAATAAAGATGTGTGTCGCGATGTTGTATCTGGAAATACTTTAAATGAGCCTGTTCATGACAGTAAAATGGTGCCCATGCCTTATACGGCTATAGAGTTCAATGGCATTAAGAAAGATGAAGGCGAATCCAGTGTTGCAGACCAAACCAGTGATGACAAATTTTTACATGAAAGTGAAGATGCTGAAAAACCACAGAGCACAAATATTGATGAAAGGTGAGCATCTGACTATCTGAACAGTGAATAGAGGATTTTCCTCAACGTAAAAATAATCCCTTTTTGCTGGATAAAACTATCTGGAACAAAAGCAAAATGTTTTTGGTTTTGCAGAACCTTCCTTTCCTTTCATGACTTTGGCAGTTAAGAAACTTAATCTTACTTATCAGTTATCTCCAGGTTGAATAGAAGTTTAAGTTGATTGAATTACTAAATAAAACATGGTTTTGGTTCTAAAACTTGCACAGTTTGATGAATTATTGTGTTTTCCTGAGAAAGCTAATTTAATCCTGCTTGCTGGCGAACCTATTTTGAAACAAGCCAACTTTTTTTTCCCTTAGATCCATCCTTTAAATTTCCATGTGTGGTAAAAGTTTAAGTTGATTGAATTTCTGAGGTCAACACGGTTCTGGTAATAAAACTTGTTTCTTTCATTAACAATAAACCTTTTACAGTTAATTTCATCAAAAAATAAAACTTTTGTAGTTTACTGATTCTGGTGAAAAAGTGTTCATCAGCAACTCAACTAGTGCTCCTCTCAGGACAGGAATCTGTTTCTCATGCTTGTGAACTATTTTTTCTTAATTTTGAGGTGAAATAGTTGATGCTCTGAGCACGAGTATCAAATGGTCATGGCAGCAATGTCGGTCATGGTTCCAGTGCATTAATTTGCAGCAGCGTATTGAGGTAGACCAGCAATGCACTTTAGGCTGCCTTGTGACCTTTTAGTTTTCAGTGATGAATGTTAATATCTTTTCAATTTTGAGTTTTCTTAATTACAGTAGTTAAGTTCTATATTTTTATCTGCTTGTTTAGCTATATTATTTTTATATGTGTTTCTTTTAACTTATGGGTTGTTTTTCAAATGATTATCATGATTAGAAAGTTTAAGGTTTCATCTGCTCTTATGATTGTAGGATGTCTGGCTTAGAGTTGTCTGTAGCGGGAAATACTTCCGCTCCAAGCACTAGAGATGTTCCTAGCAATGATGCTGTGACATTTGGGAACGAGACTTTGACTTGCCCAATCGAAATTGATCAAGAGTCAGCCAAGATGAGCATAGAGATTGCAGGCGCTGAAGAAACGGGAGGTGGTTCAGACAGGAGTAATGATGACAAACTAATGTGTGATCAAAGTGGGGATGCTGAAATTTCAAGTACTAATGATGTGTTGACCACTTCGGCTGAGTGTTCCTCCGTGGACGCTGTGGCTGTAAGGGATATGAATGTGAGTGCAGCAAAGGGATTTAACTTCCTGATAAGGATGCCTAGATTTGATGATGAAAAACTCCGAGAACGTATCAGAGTAGCTGAGCTAAATGTTGATGAGAAGACGCAGCACAGGGATGCCTTTAGACAAAAAATCCGAAACAAAAGAGTAGTCTCCAAGTTTCAACAATATATTTTATTCTCTTTATTGTGGCTTAAACCTTAGTAGGAAATGCCTTTTTCATGAGCAGGTCAATTGCCAAACTCATGGTGCTGAATTTGAAGCTGCCAAAACTCAAGAGAGAGATGCTAGAAAGCAAGTTAGGACAAAGCGTGCAGAGATCTCAACTCTTCAAGATGTGATTGATAAAGCAAAGAATGCAGTTGCCATTGATGAGATTGACAATAGGGTATGGATTTGTGACAACCCAGTAAAAAGATTTAATCAGCAAACTGGAGTGTTTTGTTTCTCTGTTCTGTGAATTTGTTATTTATGTTGCATGATCTATGCCCTGCAGATTTGTAATATGGAACACATTATTGGGCATGAAACTCTACCTTTGAAGGAGGAAAAGCTCCTAATTCGTGAAATCAAGCAACTGAAGCAGCTTCGTGGGCAGATTTCATCCAACATTGGCAGGCAGGATGAAGTGCAGAAGGCTCTGGATGAGAGAGTTGTAAACGAAGAGCAATTGAGGGTGGGGCCACTAAGATGCTTTAATGTTCCACTGAATACAACCTTCTACTGCTTATCATAAACATAATTGATATCAAGTGGTGTCATTAACATTGCGCATTGAAGAGTAATATTGGATGCCTGACAGCAGCAATTTTTTGGTCAAGCTGTCACTTTTTGATACTTAGTGTTATGATTTTCTTTTCCTTTTAATTTGCGTTAACCTGGAGACAAATGTGTGCAGATCTTGAAGAAAGAGCTTGATAACCTTAAGGTCAAGGCCTCAAAAGCTGAAACAATTGCGATGGCAGCTAGCCGAAAATATGAAGATGAGAGTCGAAAGCTCAAAGAATTGCAAGCGCAGTTTAAAGCTGCAGATGATATCCGACAAGAAGCATATGAAGAATTGCGGAATTTAAAAAAGGGATTCTATGAGAAGGTTTGTAACCACATCTGAGTAGATTGAACCTTGAACTGTTATAATCTGTTCTCAGGATCCGATACTCTCTTCCTCTGACCTCTGGGCTCCGATGATAGAGAAACTTATTTCTACAGTTTTTATTTCCCAAGTTATGCCTACACTGGGTTAGTTAATGCTTGAAGGTGGCAGGCTTTTGACTTTCTTTCTTTTACGTGCAATTTTGTTGGCTAGTACAAGTTCTCTGGTCCTGTCATTTATTTATTTATTTTCTTTTCTATAGTTGCATAATTCTAGAGGTTAGATAATTTACCGTTCAACTGAAAAACAAAAATCATATTTGACTGGCAAAATTTTACCGGATCTCATAATGCCTGAAAATGCAGAATGTTCATTTCCGGACATACAAGGATGAAGCGACTTTGGCTAGTGATCATGCACGAAAGAGAGAAATGGAGGCTCTTAATCACCTCTGTGTGAATCAGGTTGGTCAGCAACTTTATTCTTTAGTGTTGTCTTCCAGTGAAATTCCACTCTCTCTTCTCTCTAATAGTTGCTATGTCAGGTCGAAAGGTACATGGAACTTTGGAATAAGAATGATGAGTTCAGAAAGGAGTACATCAGGTGTAATACAAGAAGTACGTTGAGGAGATTTGGGACCTTGGATGGTCGTACACTTGGCCCTGATGAGGAGCCAACTGTACTTCCCAGTTACGTGGAGCAAAGAGCTGCTAGGCTGGTTACTCGTGTAGATAAAGCTAATTTTGTGTCACAAGCTCCAGTCTCTCAGCAAGAAAAGCAAGCAGTAGTTTTAAAGGATGAAATTAAGGATGACAAAATCACGACGCAAGCAGCAGAAAAAATGAACCCGATTGAGAAAATGAAAGAAGCTCCGAAACCAATTCAAAGAGAGATGAGTGTGGTTGATGAGCCAAAAGAGGCCGAGCAACTGCAAACTGCTCAGGAGCTGGAGGCTGCTAGAAAGGAGGAGGAACAGAGGAAGCGTGAGGAAGCAGCCAGGTTGAAAGAGCAACGACGGTTGGAGGAGATTGCAAAGGCTAAGGAGGCATTAGAAAGGAAAAGACGCAATGCAGAAAAGGCCCAACTGAGGGCTGAATTACGAGCCCAGAAGGAAGAAGAACAGAGACTGAAGGTAAATCTTCAGTTAATTCAAAGCAGATTCTGGTTTTCTTTCACACATCCTATGAAGTAATAGGATTTTCTCTGTAAACTATCATTGTTTATGCACGAAGTTTAAATCATATCTTGTTTAATACAGGAGAAGGAGAAAAGACTGCGAAAGAAGGAAAGGAAGAAGGGTGCTGTAGGTGAAACACAGACCGAAACTAATGATGGTGAAACTGCTCTGATTTCCACCAGCCCGAGAGAAACTGTCAAGGAGCCGGAGGCTACTGAGAATCCTCAAACGACCACTAAGAAACCTCAGAAACCATCTCAATATACAAAGCAAATCAAGACAAAATCCACCATTCCTCCCCCGCTTCGCAACAGAAGCAGAAGGAAATTGCAGCAATGGATTTGGTTAACTATTTCTTGCTTGGTTGTTATTGCTCTATTTTTTCTAGGAAACATTGGCTTCTTCACCAATTTGAAGCAGCGAGGAAGCCCGAGATTTTAGTGCCTTAACCTTGTTGGTTTTGGCTTGAAGTGAGACAGATTGCTTTATTTTACAGATGGAATAGGCCATTCTTTTACTCTATACATATAGTGTTGGTTCATCATAGTTTTGAACATTCTTGGTTCTTATTAGTAGTGATAAGACATTTTAAAACAACAGATATAACATTTTCATATATTGGTATTTATTGCAAAACATATGTGTAATAATCCCATTGATTGCCTTGCTTGCTTAATTATCCTGCTACATGGTAGTACTGAGTTTAATGTCAAAAGTGTTATTGGCATCGGAGTGTAAACTAAATTTGATGCTCCACAATAGCGGCATGCTAAGATTTACTGCTATAATCCTAGCCTCTTTAGTAATTTATTGGTAGATGATGATTTGTTTTCGTTATATACCATGTTAATATTTATCTAAGATCAGAAGTGATTTCCAAAATGGATTGGTAATCTTGTTTACCAATTAAGATCCTGTCCTTTTCATTTTTCATCTTTTAATAACAAATGATATCTCATACCAAAAGAAACATGCTATACTTTTCTTCAAATGAACATGGACACCCAAGATCATAGGACAATCTTTATGGGATACAGTAATTTATTAAAAATCTAGACACTTTACTTGGAAGATACATAATGCAAGTATTGAAATGAAATAAAGTTGACCACATGATTATGGATCTTTAGGACATTAAAGGACAATCTTTGAGACATGTGCATAGCACAGAGATTTAGACAAGATCAACTACATATAAACTTAATAAATCCACTTCACAGCAAATCATTTGTCAACTATCATCAACTTTTAGAGATGTCATCTTGTTTTGGTTTTAGTTCAGTTTCTAGAAAGGTTTTAATGTTAGAAAAAAATTACATACTCGAATTAGTCTTCAAAGTTATAATTATAAACTAAACGGGTGGGCGTCAAAAACTATCTTTTTAAACAAATTTTTTCATTTAATGGGAATCTAAAGATATATTGCTCTATATTTTGTTTTCTTTTATTTTATTGGATTCTTGGTGGTTTGGTGCAGCATCAACCTCCCCACATGATATTTCAACAAATAAATCTTCCTCACAAATGTCATTACAAAAATTCTAAAAATATAAAAGACAAAGGAATGGAAGGTAGAGGAGAAGAATATACATATAGATTAGTTAGCTAAAGTAGAAATTTAGAAGTATTAATTCATAGGCGAATTCCTGATTTAAATTTTATATGTCGAGTTCATATTTTCTATTAACTAGGTTCAAGATCTATTATTTGTACTCATATAGTGATATATTTTAATTTATACAGAATCTAAGCTAAAACTACTGAGTTAGGATGAACCATAACCTATAATATGCATCCACACCTCTGTTTTATTGGAAAAAATAACACTGTCAAATTAATATTCAAGGTGTATAACATCAATAAAAATGGAGCACCAAGACACGATAATCAATAAGAATAAAAGAGTAACGACTGTGGAGTTTTCTTGAATAGGGAAAAAATTTACAATCCGAGAGGAACAAATGATATCATCGATCATAATAAGAAATTTTACGCTTTATCGTCTCGAGTAAAATATTTAAATGAACGTTATTTTTTTACTTTACTCAAATATAAAATATCGTTCACAGTCTCTATTTCTTCTCAAGGACCACTTTTCTCTTAGACTGTCAGATATACCAAACTTATTGGTCCCCTAGAACCTTTTTGTCAACCAAGTTAATTGGCACATGCCAATAAAAATCAAATGGGATGGACCCTACATTTCTATTATATAGAAAAGGAAAGATGCTCGATCAAGGGCATATATGTCATTTTATAAAAACTTCTTATTTGCATTTTTTAAATGCAAAACTATGTCATCATTGATACACGTGAACCCCATATTTTTCTAGCCATAACTCTCCTTTAAATGCATTGTGCATGTGTTGATTAGACTGATTTTGCAGTCCAAATACTCATTTCTAACCTTTTTTCTCATTTTGGAAAATTATTAATTTTGTTTTAGTCAAACAGAAGTTTTTATAGAGAAAGTAAAATTAATTTTTAAATGAAGTATCAATATTTACAAGATTTTCATATTTACCCATCATATCTTAAAGCAATTTGAAAATGAAAATTAAATGGTTTTCATCTATATATATATATATATATATATATATATATATATATATATATATATATATATATA